GCGTAGTGTCCAACTGTAAAAGGGTTGAACACTAAACATGCAGTATGTCTTAAAATAGTAGGGTCATAACCTCTTTTAATAAAACGTTTAATGATTTTAGTAAAAACAGCAGAAAAATTACCATGACCCAAAATCTTACGAAGTTTGTAAACCACATCGCCATAAAAACCAGGCTGGCTAATCCCTTGTCGCAGAAGAGTTTTTAAATCACTATTGAATTTAGAAATTAAATCAAAGTTACGATTGTAAAATTTAGTAAAATATTTCCGTAATTTATGATAGCGGTAGCCCTGTTTTAGAAGCTTGCTGGTAATAAAAATATTCCGCTCGTTGAAATCCTTTACGTTGCTACAAGCTGAAAAGTACAAAATACGCAAATTGCAGCTATGGCTCAAAACCATGGCGCACCCACGTATGCTGTTGTACGATTGTTGATATAATCTGTTTAAAAATATTATATAATTGGGAATCCATCAATCAATGTCCGACCAAATCGGACAGACAAGTCATAATCCAAATAACATATAATCTCTATAGAATCACTTAATATAGTAACGTCAGCAATGATTGTTTAGTTTTTTACCAAGTGAAGCACCAGCTAGCACAAGTCTAGCAAGGTTTAAACCTAGACTGCCGGCAAATCCTCCAATCAAAAGTCAAATGTGTGAACCACTCAGTCAGCCTGCTACCCTGATTTTTGCTTTTGGGCGACACTATGCGCTAGCTAGCACACTGATTAATGTGAATATATATTTAAAATTTTAAAAAATCCATCAACCCTTGAATGTATCAGACACTATCTTAACATATACAGAATATTAACAGCTTTCACAACCATCATTTAAATAATAAATTTCAAGAGAATCTACATGTGAGAGGGGTTTGTATAACACTTACATTTCAAAGAAGACAGAACAACTGTCGACAAAACGAGATGCTCAGCAGTCTTCAAGTCGCAGCGAACCCAGATGATGAAATACGATGTGTTATTAAATACCTTAATTAAATGAGAAAATTGTTCTAGAATAAAAAGCGTTTATGTCTGCCATATTTCTTTAAAAAAACGCGCCAAATTATGTCAGACAGGTAAGTCACAAATCAGAAGTCAAAAGTTATAAGTAGCAAGTCATAAGACACAAGTACGGAAGCCCATTGAGGCCGTTTTGTACGGAAGCCCATAGGGGCCATTTTGTCTTAGTTATTTTGAATTTCGACTTCATACTTTCTTATTGTCTGTTTTGTCTTATTTGTTACTCTTTGTTGTTAGCTATTATGTCTTAGGGAATTAAAAATAAGCATATCATCTGTCTTTTATGTCTCTATTTTGTTTGAGTTTAATCTAAAAACGTAAATATTTTAGACATTTATAACGTACCATATCACGATATATTGTTATTTGCATTTTCCATTCATCAATATGCAGCATTGTATTGTAATTATTTACACATAAGCTTATATTACATTACCTTTTTGATCATATTCCCACATTACCATCCTAGTAATAAGAAATTCCTCTTGAGAAATGCAAGCTTATTACCCTTAAAGTTTGGATCCACACGAAACAATTATTGACTACTTTAACTATTTACTTAAACTCTGAATGTATGACCTTTACCTGCAGACGGCCATTATCTTAGATATTATTTATTAATTACAATTACTAAACTTGAGTATTTCTTGAACTGTTATGGTTTATATTCACACATACTCACCAACACATACTCACCATAGGTTTTCTTGAATTTTACCTAAACTTTAGCATTTTGACCTTTTGGGCTCTGGTATCCCTGAGATCATACGCACTCTATTTTTTCTATGAATATTTGATGTTGACCTCCAGATAACATTGATCTTTACCATAAATGAAGTAATAAAGATCTTGTATGTTGTGATCAAAGTGGTAAACCACACTAAGTGAAATTATATATATGTACATAATTATGCAAATAAAACAATTTCAAACATCGAAGAACATGTGAAATATGTACTGCAAATATTTGTGCATATAAAATGTAATCATTAATTTAAAAATATATGCATAAATGTCTTATTGTAAAATTTGACTTAAACTTTATAGAAAATAAATTTTTATTACCTCCTTTTATTTACATGAAATGTTAAATTTGGTAATATCGTTATAAATTATGCTTTTTTGAACCTACAGTATTGATAAATTTTAATTTGATCATCATATTTATGATTTAAAACCTACAGGATCTTTAACTATTTCTTGAATTTGGCAAGGGATTATGCCATCGACAAATTCTCGAGATTGTGATACTCATTTTAGTGATTAATGAGATAAATATCTTGTATGTTTTGTAGTTTACTGTTACTTGAAGTTTTATGTATGGGAATGGAGTAATGGTTCCTTCTTTTAGCTCTTTCAAACCCGATTTTTTAAGTTCTAATAACTAAGTTCTTATGTCTAAGTTCTTATGTCTAAGTTTTATTGTCTGAGTTCTAATGTCTAAGTTCTAATGTCTAAGTTCTAATGTCTAAGTTTTAATGCTTATGTTCTAATGTCTAAGTTCTAGTGTCTAAGTTTAAATGTCTAAGTTTTAATGTCTAAGATCTAATGTCTAAGTTTTAATGTCTAAGTTCTAATGTCTAAGTTCTAATGTTTAAGTTCTTATGTCTAAGTTCTAATGTCTAAAATTCTAAGATAGTCGGGCCACGTCGTCTGGGCCACTTTATAGGTCTTAAACTGCCAAGGGCCCCCTTTTGACCACCTTTTAAGCCCTTTATTTCGGTTAGCCGACACAAGGTCATCGCTTGCTTATACTTTGATTTTGTCTGGCCATAATCTTAAACTTCGTTTGCAAGATTCTATTGTGTCTAGTCAGTAATGCAATTCCTTGTGGATATACTGATGGCCCCAATTTAAAGCAGAGAGCAGGTTACACCATCAATCATTTGTGTAGATTTATGCCACTTTGTCAAATTAGGAAATGTATATGAAAAATCACTGTCTTTTAATATACTAATTTATTTAATTTAACCCACGAAGTATGGTGCTAAATCAGTCAAATATTTCTTTTTTTTTTTAATAAATATGAAATATGAATATGAAAGTGGGCGAAGTCAAAACTCATATTTATTTTAGGGACTTCTTTCGCCATTTGTTTGAAAAATCTGATAAATACAAAACAGCTTTTTGTTGAATTGTGTTTTGAAAACTACCTTGAATGATAGAAAATGATCTAACTTAGAAAATAAATCCGAACACCAAATTCTTTAATTTAGTCATTAACGCTGTACAGACATTTAAAGAGTTGTTTACGTGACGTTACAATGTAGCGCCAAATAATGCACAAACAAGACCCATCTATAAATAATATATTACTGCGCGCTGTACAATTGCAGTAAGCAAGGGGGTTCGTTATCATTTTTCTTTGATAATGAAATTAAATAGAAAAGGTTGTTTTTTCTTTTTTCGTGAAATATGGTATATATTTTCACTCAACATGATAAAATGCCAAATTTTTTTCCGGCTCGTGAAAATATGTGGCGTTTTATCATGTTTCGTGAAAATATATTCCATATTCAACTTAAACGAAAAAATATCCTCTGAATATCATAGTAAACCAGTAAATCAGTATTAAACCGGTTATAACTTCATTAAAATATTAATAGAGAAGTGCACGTCGTTAAAGTTAGGATATGATTAACTTTTATTTAATGGCCACTGTAATCTTGACCTGGTACAGAGGGAAGAACGGAACGATTGACCGCTGATGCAAAGTGCACAAATATTTAAAATGTAGAATCTACACACAATTTGATTGGGTCATTCTTTGAAGCTCTGACTAAACCAGACATTTCACAAAAACAGTTATCTTAAAACAGTTCAATAGAAGATTCCTGTCATCTTTTATCACAAAAAAGGATATTATTTTTAAGACACACAGGTTGACGGATCAGAGATCATATGACTTTTTTGTTAGAATAATTCATAAAATGATTAATAATATAATTAATATAATAAATGATTAATATTCATAATTATACCAAAACGAAACTATCGAATCCCATAAGGGTCATTTTGTCTTACTAATTATGAATTTCCGAAGAAATATATAGGTAACAATGAAGAAGTAACACATTAGACAAAACAGATAATAAGAAAGTATGAAGTCAAAATTCAAAATTACTAAGACAAAATGGCCCCTATGGGCTTCCGTAAAGTTCTAATAACTACGTTCTTACGTCTAGGTTCTAAGAATTAAGTCCTAATGTCTAAGTTCTAATATTTAAATTCTAAGAATGAAAGTTTGCCAAAGTGTATGTCATTTTGAAGGTCCTTCACTGTAACGGGCCCCTTTGGACCACCTGTATGTAGTCATTTATTTCGATCGATCAAGACAAGCTCTCCGCTTGGTTATACTTCGTTTTTGTCTGCACCGTATTGTTATACCTGTTGACTAGTGTAAAAGACAGGCGGAAGTGCAGGTGCATCGCGTGAAAATAAGTTGATATTGTTATTTTGGTTATGACACTTCTTTGATCATAAGGCAGACACAAACAAATAAAACCCAAATTCAAGAAATATAATCAAAAGTTTATAATTTGTACTTAAATCTGTGTCTATCCTAATATGGCGTTTCACTCATTTACGGAGCCTCTATGTTCTCAGAGCTAAGACCTTAGTTCTAACATCTAAGTTCTAACTTCAAGCTCAAAATGGCCGCAATGGGCTTCCGTTCAATTTGCTTCCGTACAAAACGGAACTTTGACAAAATCGACATAACCTTGATGTCTACATTTAATTTGGTTCAAGCAAATATATATCGAGTAGCTTTAGAATATTAGTTGTTTACGATAAGATTCGTGCTTGTCATAGCATTTTAACTTCAGTAAGTAAAATTCTATTGACTAAACTTAATAAACTGTTTTGATTTTATCGAATATTAAAGTGTTGCCGAATGCTCTCCAATTTAAAGTTACTCCATTATCATATTTCCTTCTTAAAAAATGTCATATGTTTCATTTGAATTCAGGAGCAAACATCTTTATAAAGAAAGCAGACAACCGGACTAATGAGATAACTTTTGAATGTGGCAAAAATGTGACATTAACCTGTATGTTTAAGAATTCGTTTGGAGTTGAATGGATGAATGAAAAAAATGAAACGGGAATAGCATGGTGTGTACAAAATAAGTGTACGTTAACGCCTGTTTATGTTGGACAGTACAGCATTTCATCCGATATGCTACGAAAAATATTCAATTTAACAATACTAAAGGTTACTATGAAAGACGATGGAAGAAGGCTTGTATGTTCGGATGGTTCTTATACTGATTCTGTAATTTTAAGAGTCAATGGTAAATATATTTATGCCTTCAATTAACTAACCTTTATTATGTAATTATACTACATGTATCTCAAAATAAGCGTTGTGCATATTCTTTTGACTAAACTCATTGGTATATATCTATTGTAAGTATTCACAGTAATTGTTCTCATGACAGGTTTTTCGATTACAGTACTCTCATTGTATTATGTATACAGATTTGTAAATACAATCAAGGTCTTACGCACGCTTAAAATGGCTGCGAAGAAATGGCAAGCTATGCACTGCATACCCTTAGAAGAGCCGAATAAATGCTTCCTAGACGAATGTCCGTTTAGGTCTGCACATTTGTAAATATTAAAAGGGAAACGTTACAAAACGAAAATTCGTTACGTCCGTACTAGTAGTACTCGTTTTATACTGTGACAGGACGGTTACTCTTTAGTCAATGTCGTGCTAGGAATCCGAACGATGTTTCTTATTTAAATATAACCAATGTTGCTCGTAATGGTTTATCATAATGCCCCATACATTAATTAACTATATCACCATTAAACGATATATAAACTTAAATAAGCAAATTTCAATCATTAAACATCAAATTTGAGCAAAAAGGTCGATTATAAGACATAAAAGGCACAAGAGACCCGTTACCAAAATAAAACAGCAGACGTATGATCTCGCATTACTATATAAAAGGCGACTATTTAAGTTTTTGAAACAGGAACTATGTCCGCACAAATCATCTAAAAAGAAAAATACAAAAATCTGGATAAGTGTGATGAAAATTGCAGACTAGGTTTGATTGAGTCTGCACATGAGGGATAATGAAAAGATGCAACTTACCCCAAAAGCTTTAAATGATAAATTTCTTGTTTCCTTATTCCGAAATGCAGCAAACGGATCACTCAGGTTTATCAATAAATATTTTACAGAAAACGCAAAATAGAGAAAGTCAAAATGATTTGTCAGATAATCACACATTTATCCGATGGGATGCAACCAAAATAAACGAATTTCACTCAATTCTTAACACAAAGCAATGTGATTTTCATGATATTTTAAATAGATGTAATTCCGATGATATTAATTCACTTGTAAATTCTTTCACTCAGGTATTGAATGACTGTTCTCACAAAGTTTTTGGAAGTACATATAAAACTAAAACAAACAATTATAATAAAAAAACATGGTTCAACTCGGACTGTTTCACCGCAAGAAAAGAAATTAAAAAAGCAAGGAATGTTTTTGTTAAAAACAAAATCTAATATAAACTATAGACAAGAGTTTGTTGAATGCAAAAAACAATTATATAACAAGATCAAACGTTTACAAAAGTATAAGTATAATTTAAAAGAAAAAAACAATCTTAATATTTTAAGCAAATCTCAGCCTCGTCAATTTTGGAAAAAATTAAAGAACAATACTCTCAATCTCAGCCAACAGCAGAAAATCTTGATATTGACGAGTTGTATAATTTTTTCAAAAGTTTATATTGTTCAGATAATACACATTTGATAGATGAAGGAACTCAGTGGTAATTATGAATGAAGACCTTGATTGTAAAATAAACTATGTCAGAAATAAAAGAAGCGATCTATTCACAAAATGATAATAAAAAGTAGTGGTCCTGATACACTAATCGCGGAAATATACAAACACTCATTTTCCATTTATTTCACAGATATAATACTAGAATTATTTAACAGAATTTTGAATCTGGAGAATACCCAACATCCTGGGGGTCAGAATCATAGTACAATTTTTAAGGGAGGGGACATTAATGAAGCAAAAAATTACAGAGGGATAACACTTATAAATATCATTGCAAAAAATTATATTCTCAAGTCTTACTAAATCGTCTTACAAAATGGTCTACCAAATATAACAAAATCATCGATAATCAATATGGATTCCAGAAGGGAAAATCAACAGTCGACTGTATTTTTCTTCTACAAGCTATTATTAATAAAACATTATTTCTCGTAAAAAGCTATACTGTGCATTCATAGATATTGAAAAATGCTTTGACAAATTAGAAAGGTCATTTTATATTTCAAAAACTTGTTAACGAAAGGGCAGTTCTAAATTCATTAAGCTATCCAATGTATGTATAGTACTGTTAAAGCAGCTGTAAGATATAATAAATGCGTTTCATCCTTTTTTGAATCAAACATCGGCGCAAAACAGGGAGATCCCAGCTCCAGTCTATTATTTTTATTCTTTGTAAATGATATATTAAACAGTTTCGACGATAATATTTTTACTCTCGATGAATTAAAGCTGTTCATACTTCTTTTTGCCGATGATGCCGTACTTTTTGCACATTCGCCGGAAGCGCTACAGTCATTACTTAATGATCTTCAAAATTATTGCAATAGTTGGAATTTAAAGGTTAACACTAACAAAACAAAAATCATGATTTTCGAACAAGGTCGTCATACTGCATACACTTTTTTTTTTAATAATATCCCACTCGAAGTAGTGACATCATTCAAATATCTAGGAATTACTTTATTCAAAAACGGTCCACATGCATCGTACACAAAAGAAGCTTGCTCAACATTCGTTATTTGCTTTACATAATTTATTTATTGTTTTTAATCAAATAGACCTATCTACACAAGAAAAATGTAAACTATTTGATTCTTTGGTGGGATCAATCCTAAATTATGGCGCTGAAATAATAGGCAATTACGAGGTAAAGATATTGAGCGTAACATTGTAAATTTTTACGAAAGACACTTAGCGTTAAAAAATCAACGAATCTAGCTGGTCTTTACGGAGAAACTGGGACGGTATCCGATGAGAATTACACCGCAAAATTATTATGATTAAATATTGGTTAAAAATTTGAGCTCAGAAAATAATTCATTAATAAGAAAAATGTATAATGTCATGAAAGAAGATGTCAATAATAACATATCATATAACGGAAATAATTGGGCATATCAAATAAAAAAAATACTTGACGAAATAGGTTTTTTCCTTTTCTATGGCGACAGCAAAACGAAATTAATATATCATTTCAAATAATAAAGAATAGAATATTAGATATATATAAACAAACTTGGTATTCAGAAATAAATAATTCAAGTAAATTACAATCATACAGTATGTATAAGTACGACCTCGAATTTGAAAAATACTTAAATTGTGTTAATATAAATAAATACAGAGTACAACTGACGCAATTTCGGCTATCATCACATAATCTAGAAATTTGAAATATGGTAGGCACAACGGAGTTCCGAGAGAAAATAGACTATGTCAACAGTGCAATATGCATGTCATTGAAAACGAATTCCATTTTTTACTCGTTTGTCCAAAAATATTATAACCTTCGTAAGAAATTTTTAAAACCATATTTTTTGCCACTTCAAAAAAATGGAAACTTTAATGTCATCAAAAATGAAAAAGAACTTAATAATATGTCAAGGTATTTACATTTTTTTCACTAAAATAAAAACTCTGAGTAGCTTATATATTGTTAGATGTACATAAAGACATACCATTCATAACATATCTGAAAACATTTTGTATGATTGTATTTGTATACATATATATACATATAGATAACAATAACAATTTATTTCAATGTTAAGTATATATCTCATATTGTTAATTGCTAAATCTCATGAAGGTATATTGTTAATAACTTCTCTGAAAACATTTTGTACTGTTTTATGAACAATTTATTGTAAAATGTCTTACACTTTACCTATATTATGTAATAATGACTATATGCTATATGTAGTTTAATGCCAAATAAAATATTGAATTGAAATTGAATTGGATAGCTGTTTTATGACTGTGCAATGTATCAACTCTTACACCGATGCGTTTTGTTCAATGTGAGGCAGTTCCCCTTTAGGTTCCATTGTAGTATTGCTCCACATTTAGATATTAATTTTCTGTAAACTTCAGACAGTTGCATTGTACATTGAAAATAAGAAAACATAAAGAATCATAAGAAAACATGGTATTACCATTTAAGGAAATTGTAGCAACAAAGTCAGATCAGAAATTTAAAACTTGTAATAAAGTGTAAAGTTGACGTTTGTGAACGTTGTCATTCACTCGTAATTTATGGACGAGTCGCAAAACAAATCGTGTCATTCCGCAGTATATCATATGTCTTATTAAAGATCATGTAAGACTGGGCTGCTTCGCTTCCAAATGACAGTTTAAGCCTTTATAAGGTCCATACGAAAAAGAAATATAATACCTGATGCGATGCTTCAGTGTATTTATTTCAAAGAAAAATGCTTTGGTTTAACCTAGTCTGGGGTTTTGACATTTTGTATGGCATTGAATGAGAGGTACGCATTATTGTCTCAACGTTTTAATTTGCTTGAAGCTAAGAAGATATCGTAACAGTTTAACAACCAGAAACATGTACTCAACGAACATATGCTGATTAATTGATTGGCTCGATCCTTCTACTTAATTTAAAATATGATCACTCGTTGAAGATATACTGTCAAATCACTTGTTATCTTTTAAACAATATAAATGGCGCTTTTCTAAAATAGTTATATCTCTAGATGTTCGTAAAATCTGCGATAAATAAAAGTTAATTACGATTTTTATGTTACAGACAATACGCCTCGACTTTTAGAAGATACACAATCTGGGACAATAAAAGCGGCATCTGGCTGTGTTTCCTTGGGAACAAAAGTTTCCTTCAAATGGAAAAAGATATCAGTACGTTTCTTAAACTACACGTATCAATAGTTTAAATGACAGTTCTTCATCGATTTATATTGTAAATTAAATACGAATTTTATTCGAAACATATGTAAAGTTCTCATTATTCAATCACATGGTAAAAAGTTAATTATGGAAATTAACCTGATTTATTGCAACTAGTTTATCAGCATAAGACAACTCAAAAACGTACTCGTGAAATATTCAGATGACACTAGCTTTTCTTGTCGATTTTAATCTATATGATTTCCTTTAATTAAGATTAAAGATCTAAATTATAATCGTTTTGCCTGCAAACACAAGCCACACGATAAGTATATTCGAAATTTATGACATATACATACAAAAGAAAAAATGCTGAACAAAAATCGTATTTCTTGTTTTAAGATAATCGACAACTTTGAGGAAGAATTTTTCCCAAAAATCCAATTTAAAAATTCAAGAAGCTGCCAAACTGATGCTGATTGCGGGCATGATCATACAGAAATAGTTTATGTGACAGCGAATGAAGATGGTCAATACCATTTCAAAATAGTAGCTCTGTATGGAAGTGAAATTAAAGAGTCAGACATTTCTGTTATGAAGTACATTACCAAACCCAAAGGTAATATTCATCTTGTATCCTTCGACATATTGTTGTCAGTATGCCTTGCTTTATCGCTAATGCTGCGTTTAAACGTTTTGATAATTGTTTTTATTAGGACATTAATTGCAAATTGGTATTATAAAAAAAATAAAAAATTGGTACGTTTAATGTATATGAACGAGAAATTGACTTTAGAATGCGCCGTTCTTAAATTCAATGTGAAAATGTTAGATATAGTTAAACAATGTTGATATCAGTGTATTAATAGCATATTGCTTAATGTTTCCTTTCAATTTTAAGACTGACTACTATTCTATCAAAATGTTCAGACTCGGACTTATTAATGAAATCTATGGTAAAGTTTATCCCGAAAAGCTTAATTAAGATTTTTCAAATTTATATGATATTAATAGTAAAAAACAGAAAACATGAATCATAATATAAAAATAACTATTGAAATAATATTGATAAATATTATTTAATACTAACGATTTTTGTTTTGAAGGGACAGGAAATGGAAATCACCTTAATACGCCGTTTGGAGTGATTGTACCGGTGACTTTATGTTTGTCTATTATTGCAGTCCTTGTCATACTGACTTTGATGTACGTTAGTTATGATATATTTTCAAAACCATTTAATGATTTTTAGTTAATATGTTGATATAAGTTTAGGTATAATATGGTCTTTGGGAAGAATAAAAACTACTGCATGCTTGTATTGAAATCTAGGATTCTTTTATTGAATAGATCTAATATGGATACATTAAAAGAATTCACATACTATGTTTCGTGCGATGCATTTTAAATATGGTCATGTTACGGTAGTATTTTCAGAGAAGAAAACATCAAACAAACTGTTCAGGCAGTCTTCTCTTAAAAACCTGCCCGTTTCTTACTATGACTTCAAATATTCACATTGCGTAAACCTGAACTGTGTCTAGTTTGTAATATGGCATAATTACCTCTGTGTACTTAAATTATGCTATTGTGCAATTATATAGAGAGAATATACTAACCATCAATATTTTAATACATTATATTTGAGATTTATGTATATTTCTGTTACTTAGATATTAAGTATTGTTGTTGTTGCATTCCCTTCTATATTTATGTTGTTTTATGGTAAATTGTTAAGACACCAGCATATTGTCATTACTCAAATCTTCTTGCATATCAGACTGGCGTTTCCGTGAGTTTTACCCATGCCGGAAATTTCATCTGGCACGGGGGGTGCCAGATGAGTCGCGTGCCAAACAACAACGTCATTTTAGCGCGCTTTATGAATGAACCGCGTTAAAATGACGTAGTTTTAGAAGGGAAATATGTGCTAAGGATGACGTCATTTCGCCGTTGTTATTTAAGTTGTAAGTTCATACGCTATTGTTAGAAAATAGTTATGGATGAAATGACTTTAATTTCCATGAAAATATATCATATTGAGGTAAACCATTTTAAATATGAAATAATATGGCAGAATATGCAAGAAAAAATATCTAACATATGTTTGCGGTTCGGTTCGAAATATCCGTCCCTCGGGAACCCGCCCATGGGCGGTAACTCGGCAAGCCTCGTTACCACCCAATGGGCGGGTCCCCTCGGGACGGATATTCCGGTCCGAACCGCAACATATGACAGATATTATTATTCCAAATATGGTCCGTTATTACGATACTATGTATTATACGTTGTTTGTCGCACAGGTTATTATCCACAGCTCATGAAAGACCATTACCCCCAATCTGGTTATCATCTAGTGATGGTTTTGTGTACACAGCGCACACGGCATTGTGATTTATACTTTTAAATTTTGCTTATCATAAATAACATCTTATTTACCATCTTTATTCAGCGTTATCTTCCGTAAAGAGATTATGAACAAATGGAGAAAAAGAAAAACTTATCAAGACAACCGTAGCCAAAGAAATCGGTACTTGACATTTATTTCGAACATTTCAGTTGACTTAAGGCGAACATGTTTGATTGTTTTCTGTTTTTCTTCTATTTTAAATAATGAGATAATCATTGCAAACATACACAAGACTAATTCATCATTAACGTCAAACTTAAGACAGCTTTAATTTAGTATTTTATTAGTAAATTCAATTATGAAGAATAAATTGTAATGAAAGATTGTCACGCTTTATCTTTATAATATTACATGACATTTCTCTGCTGTGAATTATTCAGTTGCAAGAAGAAATTGTTTAAGTTCTAAGATTTAGTGGATACATGTAATTGTTAATGATCAAGTGTTTCAAATTTCCCGTTTTACAATAGATATTGATAGTCATTTTCAGATAGTTATTTGACATATAATTTGAATTTTATTTCAATTAATCCTAAAATTCTTTATGGGATAATCTTAAATGCATAGCTAATGCAGAAGTATTTTATTAATATCCTGATTGATAGATAGATAAAATCATATAGACATTTATGGACAGATGTGTTTTTGATGTCACTTTATGCCATCTAGCCAACAACATAACGAAGAAACAGCTACCTTTTCCGCTAATGACAGAGATGATGAAGAAACCCCGCTTCAAAGGTACATGACACTCTTTTTGAACCTTTTAATTTGCTAAGTGCGAAAATGTTAAATTATTTTCCGTTATTCTTCTACTTTTGATAATGAGATAATCATTGCAAACATACACAAGAATAATTCATCATTAACGTCAAACTTAAGACAGTTTTAATTTAGTATTTTAATAAAAATTCAATTATGAAGAATGAATTGTAATGAAAGATTGTCACGCTTTATCTTTATAATATTACATGACATTTCTCTGCTATGAATTATTCAGTTGCAAGAAGAAATTATTTAATTTCGAAAATTTACTGGATACATGTAATTGTTTATGACCAAATGTTTAAAATTTCCCGTTTTACAATAGATATTGATAGTCATTTTCAGATATTTATTTGACATATAATTTGAATTTTAATTCTGTTAATCCTAACAATTCTTTTTAGGATAATCTTTAAAGCATACATACATTCAGAAATGTTTTTATAAAGATCCTGATAGATAGATAGATAGGTAGATAGATAGATAGATAGATAGATAGATAGATAGATAGATAGATAGATAGATAGATAGATAGATAGATAGATAGATATGTCACTTTATGCAATCTAGGCCAATACATAACGAAGAAACAACCTCTTCCGCTCATTACAACGATGGTGAAGACATCTCGCTTCAGAGATACATGGCACTCTTTTTTTAACCTTCTAGTTGGCTAAGTGCGAAAATGTTAAATTATTTTCCTTTTTTCTATGAAACAATCATTAATAACAGATTCTGATCAAATGTGTGACATTTCCAGTTTTGCATTAGAAATTGATTGACATATACAGATATTATTTTGACATACAATTTGATTTTATATCTATAAATCTTAAAAATCTTAAAATAAAATATCAACTCATATATCTTTTCAAAGGCAATCGATGCTTATAAAAATCTTTAAAGCAACTGTTTTCTCCACATATATCAATTTAGGCCCACAAGTGACGGAGACGAAGGCTCATTGCCAGCTAATAGAAATAATGATGAAATCCACAGCACAAACCAGCAACAAGACATCAAAAAGGAGATCAACAAGATTATTTCAAGTGGTGAATCAAATGTTCAAAAAAGAAAGGATTATTTTGAACGAAAAGCCAAAATGTGAATAAACGGACCGATAAATAGAACCAACCAAGGGCATTTTTTTATCAAAAAATAATGTGTGTTCAGTGTCTATTTTGTCTATGTGTTTAACAAATTTTCCATTACTGTAACAAATGAAATATAAATATTCTAAAATATTAAAAACAGTTAAGCACAATGTTTAGATACCATTCAATAGCAAATTTTGATTTATGTAATATATCATTATAGTAGATATCTATTATTCAGAGTAACGCAATGTTTTCGAATGCAAAAGATGGTCCAGCCAGGTTGGTACGAATAACTAAGGTAGATACTGATTAATCTTAATATCATAAGGTTGATGTCGCAAACATCACGATAATTTATTATATGAATGTTTATAAATCAATAAATGTTTAGGTTTATTTTTGCGTTAGTAATATGATTAACTCATATAATGAATTTCCTCAATATGCTATGTTCTTTTGTATATGCAACAGGGTTATGTGTTGCTGTAAAGTATCCGTTTAGCAACGGTGTAATTTACATTAATGTGATATACCGTTCTCATTGTAACACACAATCACTGCCGGTAAACGTCTATTGTTACATTAACGGTGTTTGACACCGTTGGTCATGTATTTTATGTGTCTTTCATATATTTGGCGGAAAAGGTGATTGTATATATAGGTTTCATAGTGTAAGTAAAAGTTAGTTTTTTTTATGTATTTAGAACCTTTTGGACTTGTGGAACTTTAAACTTAAAAAGATTCTTGGATTATTTACATGAAAAAAATGTATATTAAAAATAGTCAATCATTATTTGTTGTTCTTACTTTAATATAACCAGACCTTGGGATGATTACAATGATCAGTAATTGATTAAATTACAATTACTTTCAGTTTGTATTGTAATTGATTATTATTGATTACTCAGACTTGCCTCTGTAATCAACTAAATTACAATTACTTTAAGAGAGTAATTGATTGATAATCGATTACATTCAATGTAAAGTAGAATCCCTAGTTAAGACCACACCGTTAATAAGACTTTTTTACAAGGTTCTTTATGTCAATGGTTACATGATCCAGAATTAAGAATAAATGCTAATCCACTTTTAAGACAACCTGATTCAGTCCAGATTCTTTGCATTATTCTTAATTTGACCCAACTATTGAGACCCTGATATTAAAGTCAACACCTATCTAGATCTTAAATTTGTTGTAACGATCCGCTTGAATGCTTTGCATGAAACTTAATTTCACAAGGTGTAAAAAACTATTATTATTAGGTTTAATGTTTCTTTCAGCAAATTTATTTTGTAAAGAATTAATTTTTATTTGATAGGTGATTTATGTAAATCATACTATTATTGATATTGAAATCTAACCGAAGAGAATTATAAGTTAAATTTCTTCAGAAATATGCTTTCCTCTCATCAGATATCAAAGCATAATTTTATAGTGTCTTTTATATTGTATTTGTACTTTATAGCTTAAGATACATACTGTTTTTTCATACAATATGACTTAAACAGACCATTGTCATAAAGTATGTAAGCAATGATTAGAATATTCACAATTAAGACCTACCCACAATTAAGACCACTTTTGTCCAGCCCAGATGATGGTCTTAATTGAGGGCTTTTACTGTATAATGTAAAACAAAAGTTAAACTGTATCATGCAAAATAAAGGCATCCTTAGAATTAATATAGTTTCCTGTTAAATCTGAAAGTAATCAATGTCAATTAAATTGTAATCATAATACCTGACAGAATTTTAGCTGTAACCGATTACTTACAATCAAATTAATCAATTTTGGGCAAGGTAATTTATTACATAATGATTACAGTGTAATCATGTAATCAATTAAAAAATCAATGATTACAATTAATGATTACCCCAGGTCTGCATTTGATGTGAGTGTTGATAGGAAACTAAGGATTCTGATTATATAACTGTTTAAAATTTAAATTGCACATGCACACGTTTTTCATATTACCAGTAAAAAAAATTCTACAATTTCCATCATTACATCATTTTGACAAAGGTCACAACTTGCAGCACTACTTATTTGTCACCATAAGGCTGACAAAGGATTATGTGTGACAGTGTCGCCTTTCACAAAACTTAACATTTCGGGCAAAACCTTGACCTAAAATTACACATTATACTATAGAGCATTCCATGAGAAAGTGTTCCAACACAACTTAACCTTAATCAATATGTTGAATGCAGGTATCTGATCATATACGGATGATGGTCCATACTGTACAATTATTGAAGTCTAACCATATTTCAACATTTTTGCAATGGTGAAGACTTTAAGGCTGCTATTTGGCTCTGACTGATGATTTGATTTGATCTTTGCTGTAGTAATATGTCACATAATTCTCCATCCCAAATTTTATTTTTATAATAAATAAACAAGGTCAAAAATCCTTATTTTATCTTCTGTAAATGCACGTAAATCACATAAGTCTTTGTTCATAACATTTACTTCCCACTTACAAGAGGCTTTCATATCCACATATACTTTGATCACTGATTTTTTCTATGTTTTCTTCCTTTAAGTTCAACTGTACAATTTCTAATGGGTATTTTATACATGTACTTAGTACACAATGTTTATTTGACACAATTTGTTGCACTAGCTGTAGCTGTAAGTGCTAGCAAAGCTCTTCAACCCCTGTAACACATCTTTCTGTGTTTCTTTTTGTCATATACCCTAAAAACAGAAGTTATGATATTTATTCAATTATATACATGTATATTGTACTGTATATAAGATTTGTACAGTATGAAAACATCATTTATACAGTAACAGTCCTGTTGTTTAAAGAAAATAACCAAATTTATGTAAATAAATGTCAAAATATAGTCCACCGTAATTCCATAAGAGGATAACAAGTAAATGGTGTTGATCCATTTAAACATCTACAGAAATCTGTCAAAATGCAAAAACTTAAAATTTGAAATTAAATCATCTCCTAAAGTATCTCCTTTGAGCTACTGTTTAATTTATACTTTCAATACCCCATAAGCATTTGGGAATAGTAAAATCCATCTAGCTATCATGGCGAAACTTTAATAGTAATTTTGTTTTTGAGGCAGCCTGTAATTATATGACCTTAAACACTCAATAAGACAGATATTTGTGCAATCTATCAAAAATAGCCTAATTACTCCCAAGAGAAATATAACTATAACAAACACTTTACATTTAAATGATATTATTTACATTTCTTGTCAAGAACTTTGACTGTCCATGAAGCAATGTTTTGTGCTAGTATTTAGAAAAATTAATACTAAACTTAAAGCCATTCAGCTATAAAGGTCAAATAAATATACACATATGCCAAACGCTCCTGACAGTCTTTGCCTGAAAAAGGTTTGTGTTTTCAAGTAAAGAACAAAACCACTGGGCCCTCATAATAAGTTATTTTTTTAAATACATGAAAAGAAAGCACTAATCTCCTGCATAACCCTGACATGTATATTAATAAATCAATTTTGATAACTGTATGACCCTTTTATATTAATTAATCTATAAATTATGATAACTGTTACAAGACTTTTTATTTAAAAGCCACATAAATTACTCTATTGTGTACCATCTGGAAGATATCTAAATAATCTTGTAAATGTTTATATTATGTAACAAGTTCAAAACATATCCTCTACAGCTGAACATATTCTTGTTAACAAAATGAAATGAATATCAATATAGTGAGTATTTTAGAATTTCTAAATATAATTACATTTGTATTTTTGTTAATGAAAAAACAAAACAAAAAAACTCAACAACAATTGTAAAAGAGTTTAAGAGAAATCAAACACTGTATGAAATGATAGCTACATAATGGCTACTTAATTTTCTATATTCCTTGCACACATAGATTAAATTTCTGGTTAGCTGCATGGTTACATATTTTATACAATTTTAACACTTTATAGAATTTTAAAAACAATTGCGGAGACACATCAGTGCCGTAAGATCTGATCATAGTCTGCACTATTCACTTTTCAGTCACTCCAAATTGTGAAGTTTTTTTTCAAATTGATTAATGCTTTAGTCCATATTGAAAGATAATCTGGTCAATTTGAAATATTTCACATGTATTAATGTTATGGGTGCTGAATCATGTTTTCCTAGGAAGGTTTGCATTTGTCATGATTCTGTGATAATTTAAATTAAAATAAATGGTAACTTAGTAATGTATAAATCCCATTAACCACAAAAAAAATGTAAATATCCTTCATAAAATGTCATTTTATTAAAGAAGTGTGGCTGTCACTTTATTAAAGGAGTGTGGCAATATTTTTATATTTAGGATTTACTGATCAACAATCATTGTTCAATTACAATTTAAATAGTCTGTCTATTGAAATATATAACTTTCCTCTCCAGAACAGTGAAAAATTATATCACATTACTAACACATTATCACAAACTCAAATGTTTAAACCTAAATCAAAATTCATACCATATTGACACCTGAACTGTCTTGACACCTGCAGATCAGACTGGTGTACTGTTGGCTACTTTATCAAATACAGTACAATCTCAATTCTATTCAACATCACTTACAGGTGCATCTTTCTCACACATGCTCTAGAGTTGTCTGAATTAGAGTACAGTAGACATACAAAATTTGTCCTGTCGATGTTTTTTTCTTTCCGATGTAGGTCTAGATCGCGGATATTGGTTTCTCTCGCAAATTATGTCGATGAAGGTGAGCTTTACCTTGAGAAACCCAGTTACGTTAATGACCATGTTTAGAACAATCAAATGTATCCTAATTTTGTTCAATGGTTGAACGAAAAACAAACTTCTGTAGAGATGTCTGGCCGGATACGCTATTTCTTATATTTTGTTTACAAACTGGCAAGGAAATACCCGTCTATTTATAAATTTTGTAGACACGTGATATGTTTTAACTTGTAAATGCGTATAAAGACTTTTGGATGAATTGGAATTTGGTAGATTTTCGTTGGTCGTTCAAAGTTCACTGTAAAGGTCAATATCACAAATCGGCCCTCGTTACAGCAGCGATCTGAAGTAACGTGAGTGTATTCAGTGAGCTGCGAAGGGAGCGTATTTAAAATAGAGCTCGGGAATTGAGTGCTAATTAAGTCATATAATATTTTTGTATTTTTTTGCCATTTCATACAGTTATGTAAATGTGAAAAAACTTAACCCGTCTTTCAAAGATCCTGTTACACAATTTTTTATGGTTTTTAATCATAAATATGATGCTCAAATTATGATTTATGAATATTGTAGGTTCCAAAAAGCATTATTTATAAAGATTTTATCGAATTTAACATTTCATGTAGATAAAGGGGGGTAATAGAAAAATTATTTTAAAGTCAAATTTTACAATAAGCAATGAATGCATATATTTTAATGTTTACATGTAATATGCACAAATATGTGCAGTACATACTTTATATATTCTTCGATGTTTGAAAGTAGTTTTATTTGCATAATTATGTACATATATATAATTTCACTTAATGTGGTTTACCATTTTAATCACAACATAAAGGATGTTTAATGTTTGCTTTGAAAATTATTCTATAATCATATACAGTTTGTGAAGGCAATCTGGATCAACATAAATATTTCGCTATCATATTAATATCAAATATGTAATTTAAAAAATGTTTTTGTGTTTTTTGTTTTCAAATGACCGCACCTTACAATAAATGTTGTTGCTGCAATTCCTTGCCATGTGTTTTGAAAGAGAGACAGTTTCTATTTATAGCCCAAAGTGTCGTGAATATGAATCAAGTGAAGGTAATGCG